TAAATAAGAATTTATCTAACATGCATGCATAAGAGAGGTTTTTATGATGGCAACACTAGTTAAAACAATTTACCTTTGATATAGAATATATTAATGGTAATACAAATAGCTTAGCAGATATTATAATTCGAGAACTTACAGATGGCATCCACAACCACAAGACTCACACCACCAGAGAAAGAAATACTCCTGACAAAGATCAAGAAATACTAGACTTGGTGACATAAGACAACGCTAAAATTATTAAAAAAAATGTAGGCTGTATGGAAGAGCTGTTCCATGAACAAGCTCATTAGGACAACTCATTTAATTGCCAAAACTTTTTTAGGATTAGAAGTATTATATTTGTTTCTTTAACTCTCCTATGACATCCAAGATAAAATAAGAAGATGTACGTTTATTAAGTTATTTCTGAGATGGTATGAAGAATGTGTCATGTGATGACCGGGTACGTAACCCGTCTCGTTCTTCTTTTATTTGTGTTGGGATTACTCATGTTAGAGTGTCGAGGTTTAACTTGAGGCCTTGTCAACCGTATGGGTTCATCTTTTTTGAAAACTTTTCTCAAAATTCTCGTTCTTATTTTTATATCGGTGTTGAGTTTCGCATGTGTTTGGGAGGCATGAGATTGGATACGAGAGGTCTCAGTCCAGGTGGTGAAATTTTTGGTTGGGAGGCTGAGCCACACGTGCGGAGACTTGGGCAAGCACGTGCGGAAAATGAGGTTGCACGTGAGGTGAGCAGGGGTTGCTAAGATGCTCTACTAAAATAATCGGACATGAAATCCCAGGTGCAGAAAGGAGGGGCCGCATGTGCAAGAGTGGAGGCCGCATGTAAGGTGAAGGGCATGCTGCACGTGCGGGAAATTTTTTGAATCAAATAGGCTGCTTGTTTTATATGCACGAGCGTGGCTTGGTGCGGGGTGAGTCCGCACGTGCGTGGAACAATCCCGCACGTGCGTGACGACGTTCCCAAAAAAAAAACAAAAAAAAAGAAAAAAGAAAAAGAAAAAGAAAAAGAAAAAGGGGGATTTCTTTTTTGTATAAATATTTTTATTTTATCTATTTCATTTTTACTTTTTATTTATTTATTTATTTATTATTACTATTTTTTTTTGTTTAAAAAAAAATCAAATTTCTTTGTTCAGTTTATTTCATTTATTTTATTTTATTTTCGTTTTTGAATTTTTTTTTTGAATATCTAACCTAGACCCACTTTTCTTACCATCACTCTCATAGATTTTGTCTCTCTCCCTCTCTCTTTCTCTCTCTCTCTCTCTCTATCTATCTCTACCTCTCATATTCTCTCTCTCTCTCTCTCTCTCTCTCTCTCTCTCTCTACCTTATCATCTTTTTCCTCCCTTTCTCTTTCACTCAAGCCCAACCACTGCTAACATTTTTCTTTCTTCTTTCCACCATCACCAACCTTCACCCTTTTTCTTCCTTACCACCATCTCACCGTCGATGCCCTATTTCCTCTCCATCCGTCGAATATCCGGCGACCACCATTTTTCCAGCGAATCTCCCTTCTTTCTCTCTTTTTCTTCACTATTTAAAGGTAAATCCTTTCTTTTTGTTTAAAACTTCATATTTATTCTTTCAATCTTCCATTGTAGTGAGATTTAGGGATAGTTTTATAGTGATCTATTGTTCATCCTTACAAAAAAAAAAAAAAGTAAATAAATTACCATAGAGCTTTGTTTTTGTGGTTGTAGGAGTAGATGAGTAGAGTTTGGTTTTTGTTTTTGTTCAAGTCATCATCTATTGTTGATTCTTAAAATTAATAATAATAATAATAAAAAAATCATGCTTAGCTCTTTGTTTGTTTCATAGGTTATTTATTTATTTATTTATTTAGTTGTTTATTTTCTGTTATTTTATTTATTTAGCTTTTTTGTTTGTTTATTTTATTTGTCTTTATTTAGTTGTGGTGTACTAATTTAGTTGTTTTTAATTTATTTTTCTTCGTGTTTTATTTTAGTTCATTTATTTCTCTCTTAAAAATAATAATAATAATAAATACCAATTTTTTTTTTATTTTTTATAATACCTAACTTTTCTAATTCACTGTATTTTCCATCTATTTATTTAGTTGTTTAGATGTATTCTATTATCTCAGTATTACTTGTTAGTTTAATTCAATACTTGTTAAAATGTTAATATGTAAGTTTATATTATTCTATTTTATTTTGTTTTAGTTTTCAAAAAAAAAAAAAAATTATGAGAATTGGATGTGGTATTTCAATGGGCAGATTTGTGCTTAAATATCTTATTTGATTCTCATGCTGGTTTCATGGGTATATGTGTCTATTGTTGGTGTGTGCAGGACATGAGTCGACGGATATCCACCTAGGCCTCCAAAAAGGCTAGAGGTTCCACCCTTTTGGCGCCACCACCGCCACTGTCACCACCATCCTCGCCACCACAACCGGTTGACTTGCCACGGTCGGAGTGGGCTTCACGCCCGCTTCACAAGCTTACAGAGTTTAACATCACATATTTTCAGCGTGACCCGGTTACCTCTTGGGCCGTTGAGCAGCTTTGCCTCCGGCAACAGTTGGGCCTGTGCACTGTTACGACGCTTACTTATCCTCGTCTGGTACGACTCTTCCACCAGAACATGTATGAGTCACTCATCGAGGTAGGATTGCTGTCCACCATTGATGGCCATCTCGTCAGCATCACCTAATCCATGATTGCCGATGCGTTAGGGTTCTTTTCCAAGACGGAATACCAGCTCTTCCCGGAAGTTGAGGACCAACAATCCATACATAGCCTCATCCAATAGTACTTCCCGGGGGCCCATGGTGACACCAGTTACATGTGCTTGCACCAGAGCAAGCTGCCTGGCCGCTTGTTATTCATTGACTCTGTCATACATAAGAATGCCCTTCCACTTGGGCATAAAGCTGAGCGCTGCTTGGAGTTTGTTCGGGTCTTACACGATTATCAGCATGGCTATCAGGTCCTGCTTGTGCACATCATTTGGATGTATATGCACAAATTTCTACGGTGGGCAGTTCAGCCTCAACCAATGTAGAACCTGACTTGGCCCCTGCCATTTGCCAACTTGCTCACACTTGTCTTCGAGCTGAACGACCTTCCCATTGATTCGACTGAGGAGATTGACAGAGCTTGTCCGACTTTCGGGCAGCGGGAATGGTAGCATAGCATATCTCATATCCCGTAGCAAGTTGGTGCCCCAGTTGACGAGGCCTTGGACCTTGTCCACGACCAACCACCTCATCCTGCCTTCCTTGTGCCTCCCCAAGGGGACCCATTCTACATGACTCGCGAGGAGTACTTATAGCTTCAGCACTCTGTGGATCAGGTCCACAGTACTCTTCGTGATCACCACCAGAGGCTCATGGGGTTGCACACGAATTTTTAGGCGCATCGAGACTACTCTTAGGTGGATTTTGACCAGCTCAACGCTTGCCAACTCGACATTCAGCAGTCAGTTGCATCACTGCAAACTAACTTTTATACATATCGAGACTCAAGCCAGCAGTGTTTTGACCAGCTCGGCGCCCGGGTTTAGAATGAAGCATTTGAGACGCGATCTTTGATGCACGCCTTGTTTGGCCAGCATTTCTCGCCACCGCTGCCATCCGATTCTCGGTAGTACTGGCCTATATTTTGCTTTGTCTTTGTTATTTTTATTTTTCTTTTTAGTTCTTTCTTCTTTCGTACAATAAAAAAAAAAAGTGTGTGAAGTGTGTGTGTGTTACTATATGCCTACCTGGATGTGCACCTACAATCTCTGGTAATATTCTCTCATTTCTCTTTACTTTTCCGTTGATCATATTCAAGTTGGGGGATAAGGGTTGTATTTTCTTTTGTGCATTTCTATTTGGCTCATAATTCATACTTATTCCTGCTTCACTTGATTGCATTACTTCACTTGATGTTGACTTGTTGCTAGTAGGGTGATGATATTTGCATATGTTAATTGGGGAGCATAGTAGACTTGTAAGAAAAGGGTTTATTGGGTAAATACTCACATGTGATGTTTGCACTAGGATAGTTGTTTGTGTTTGTGGAATTAGTACACTTGTCATGAGTATGCCTTAATTCACATGAACATACTATCATAGCGGTGACCTCTTTATTATAATCCCTGGTATACATCATTGATAATGGCTAGGGTTGTAGAAAAGAATAAATGAGTAGCCAAGATTCTTTTTTTTTTTTTTTAGAAAATGGACTTGTTTGGGTTCGTAGCCTTTTTAACTCGAGTTATTAAGCCTATAGGGGTGTCTCTACACCTAGTGCCCTAAAACCGTCTGGTTTGGGAGTCATTGTTCCAATACTTGCTACATGGGTTAATTAGAAAGCTTAAGGGACTTAGACATTACATAGTTAAGGAAAAATAAGAAGAATAACTTGTTCGGATTTGTAGCCTTTTCAACTCGAGTTATTAAGCCCGTAGGGGTGTCTTCACACCTAGTGCCCTAAAACCGTCTGGTTTGGGAGTCATTGGCCCAATGCTTGTTACATGGGTTGATTAGAAAGCTTAATGGATCAGGCTATTGTACAATCATCTAAAAAAAAAAAAAAACTTTTGAGAATCTTGGATGCAACAGTTTAGTTTTTCTGTATATGTTAGGTGTTATTATGAGTTACACTGGGCTATTATAGTGGACAGTTAACTAATATGGAGATTGCACTTTACACTGAGGGTACTAATGATGTGTCTACTAGCATGCACAGGGGACTTTACTTTTGTATTAATTGAATTATGGTTTTGACTTAATAGATTCCTTCATGCTTGTTCACTGTGCCTTCAATGACTCATTATGTCTCAATATCACACTGTAGTGGCACATAAGTTGATTGTTAGGTGGAGTAGTGTGGTTAATTATTGTTGAGCATATATGAATATGTTAATGTCTGTAGGTATCATTTTTGGAAACCCTCACGAGACTTTACTCGTCCACTTGGGGTAACTTTGTGGTTTAAAGGCTTATTGCATATGCTAAATGTAACCGTTTTCCCACGAAAGAGGAAATAATTAGATTTTGTTTCATTTCATTTTATTTTTATTGCTTGCTTGAGGACTAGCAAGTTGTAAGTTGGGAGATGTGATTAAGGCCGAATTGTGCAACATTGAGGCTGTTAATTAAGATCTCTTAACTTTACTTGCTTGTCATATTATATATTTTATGTCTGTTCAATCATGTTGTACATAGTCGGAGCATAAAATGGGAAAAAATACAGAATTTGGAGAGAAAAGAGCTTCCCGCACGTGCGTTGACTTTTCCCGCACGTTCGTTGACTTTTCCATATGTGCATTGACTTTTCTCAAAAAATGGGCCCGATGTTTTTAACCTGTTTGAAAGACAACAAAAGTATAAATAGGCAAGAAAGAGGCTGGATTAAGGTTCTGAAAATGATTCAAAGAAAAGAGAGGCTAGGGTTTAGAGGAAAAGGAGGATTCTCAAGTTTTCAATCCAACTTCCATGGGGTCTTCCATCTTTTCTACCTCTTCCCACTCCTCTATAAGTGGCTAAGCTTATCTTTTCTAGGGTTTTGATGAAACCCTAGCCATGTAATAGAATTTTTCATATGCTTTGATTGTGATTCGGTTTGAATCAATGTATGAATGTTTTAGAAGTTTATAATAATTATTCTTTTCATTTCTTCAAGTATTTTACTCTTTGTGATTGTTTAATGCTTTCCATACATTAGTTTTCTTTGTGTTTGTGTTCAAAGTACGAGACAAGTCATGCTACGAGTGACGGGTTGTGTTGCTACCATAGTTTAGAGCAAACACCTCGTGCTACTCGGGATGACTCGTACCTGTACGTTGAATGCAACAACCCTCTTGATCAATATTTCAAGCTTGTAGTTGTGAAATATTGGGTATTTTAAATCGGATTGCAATTGATAGCCGATGTTTAATCTCGTTTATATGGTTAGTGGTGAATTCTTTGCTCTAAGATTTTTTCCAAAAATTAATATCTCAAACCCTAATTTTAACTGTCAATTTAATTTCTTAATTTCATTTAATTTCTTTTTAGCCATAAAATCTCTCGATCATTTTAATCAAAATTAATTTAGGAATTTAGCAATTAAATTAGTCTAATTTCACAATTGTCCCTGTGGATTGATACTTGGACTTGCCATTATTCTAATAGAATTTGGTATAATTTAGTGTTTATTTTTGTTGTGTGTAACGACCCAACCGTTTTCCCACGAAAGAGGAAATAGTTAGATTTTGTTTCATTTTATTTTATTTTTATTGCTTGCTTGAGGACTAGCAAGTTGTAAGTTGGGGGATGTAATTAAGGCCGAATTGTGAAACATTGAGGTTGTTAATTATTAAATGTCATAATCATCCTTATTATTATCCCCCACTGTATCATTTATTTGATTAAGAAGCATATATATGAATATTTTACATCTTTATTAGTTGTGTATCCGATAATCGAACCAATCCAAGTTTTCTTCGTTGATCTTGGAAATTCGGATGCATCTATTAATAATGTGTTTTCGTAATAAATATAGTAAAATTATAAAGTTATGATTATTATATTAATTTAATTTTTTAAAAATGATTTACATATAAAACTTGATAAAATGAACGATTGAAATCATTAAAACAAGTCTCTTGAATCCCACAAGACCCAACAACGTCATTAATTAGAGACAAACATGTCCCTTAGTATATTATGTTGAGGAATAATTCCTTTTGGTAGTAATTTATGCATTTTTCTATGGAAAAACATGTGAACGATGGGTTCGGCTTAGGCAATAATAAAATTATTGCATGATTTCTGAATGTTATGGGACAATATTCACATGGTATTCTTAATTAATGATATTATCCTATCTTAGCTATGCAAGAGACACAAAAGTACTCTAATATTTGTGTGTGTGTGTGGAGAAATTACAAATAAAACTTCAAAGTTTTAATCTTGTAACAAAATAAATCTTAGATTTTTAATTTTATAAATTTAACCGTTAATATTTTAATTTATTTTCAATCTAAACATTTGCCTTTTAATTATTAAACTCAATATAGGTGTACGAAAAGTGCCTAAAGTACCTGATTCTATTGAGCTTAATGACTAAAATATATTTTTTCTAATAATTTTACTTAACAAAAATAAGTGAATGTATAGATGAAAAAAAATCAAAAGATTAAAATTTAAATTAATAAAATTAGACATGCATGATTTATTTTGAAACAAAATTCAAACTTTAAGAACTTTTTTATAATTCTTATATGGAGAGAGCAAGAGAGTGAGAGAGAGATAGGGTTGTTGCTCGCTAGCGAAGGGCGAGCCGATAGAGTGAGAGCAACAGAGGAAGAGTCGACAGAGTTAGAGACTTGTAGTTCAACGATGGAACCCAACAAAGGCTTGTAGTTCAAGGGTTATATAGAGATTCAACAATAGAACCCAACAGAGGCTTCTCGTTGTTAATGGAAATCAAGGGTTACACAGAGGAAGAGAAGAAAATGGAGAGATGAAATAGAGAGAGTGAGGGAAGTGAGATAGAAATAGGAGGGTTAACCGGTTGCCCCGATTTTCAATTTTTTACTATTAAACAATTCAATAGTCTTGATTAATTGTTTATAATCCAAGGGCTAATAGTTAGGTTGCCTATGGTGTGCAACCTTCAGCAGGTTGCATACTTAAACAACACCCTAATAAATAATACTAGCTACCCTAGCAACTCAATAAATTTTCCAAAATTTATTAAACTACACTACCCTATCCTAGGGGTCAGAGGCCAGTTCCAGACCTTGACTTAGATAGGTGACCCATCACGAGTAATGCTAGGGACCCCATATATTTTATTAAATATTTTACCAAATGTCTCACATGGGTGTAGGAACCATTTGGGACCTACATGGTGTGGGTCCTACACCTATGTGCGACATTTGGTAAAATGTTTAGTAAAACATTTGGGGTCTCTAACATTACTCTACCCACCACGTCAACTAAAATAATCAAAATTAACTTCTTTATGTAAACATCAAAAATTTGTTGAAATAATATTTTCCTACGCAAAAAGGCAGAGCTAGTTTTGTCCTAACAAAGATCAAGAAATTGATATCTAAATTGAAGAGAAGAAGCCCCAAAGGCAAAGATGAAAGCTAAAATGAAGATCACACCATACTACCCCAATTTCTCTTTTGTCGTAGTTTTGATGGTTTTCTTCCATTTCTCTTTAGCTAAAAAGAGCAACTCAATGATAACTGGGGGCTGCAATTCCACCATTGTCGAATGCTTAGCAGATGGAGGAGAAGAAGTAGAGTTCTTGATGGAATCAGAGACAACTAAAAGGTTTCTTGCTTCTAACCAATAGAAAATTACGTATAGCACTGTACAAAGGCCTGCCGTATGTAACATAAGGTTGTACGGCGATTGCATCAGGAAAGCCAATAACGATTCGGACTTGTACCGCCAATAATCGATGCAATCGCAGTCCCCGTTGGATTGATGATGTCATGAATCACAATCACGTGATTCATGGGACGTTGTGAGCGATTTAGAACTTGTGGAATTGGGAATTTGAGACCTCTTGGTTCTTCTTCAATGTTTTTGTGTGTTTGTTTTGTGATCATATGTAGTCTATGAAGCATGGGTACTTCGAAAATCATGCCGTACTCGTACTAGGTACTTACCGGCGTATGATACCTTTTATGGTACTTTTGCATACGTACCGGGTACACGAAACATGTACCCAAATTTCTTCTTCTTAATTTTTGGCATACCCAGACGTACTTAGTATACACCAAAGCCACACTGTATCTCAGTTAAAACAATATTTTCTTCTACTACCGAGATAAAACTTCTTTCACTAGACTTCTTTTTTATTTTTAGTTTTATGCTTAGCATGATTTTAAAATTAAACTATGATCTGTAAGTTATTTAATATATTGACATTTAATTTTGATTTATACCTTTACTTTTGGCATTATATGTTAATTATAGGTTGGATCTTAACAAATTAAACCATTTAATTAATTTTTATATTACTCTAAATTAAAAATAAATATTTTTTTACAAGCATACCAAGCCGTATCCGTACTCTACTTTTTTCATATTTTACCATATCGACGTACCTGTATCGTACCAATACCAGTCCTTGTACTCGTACTCATACCCGTATCCGTGCTTCATAGTATATAGTGTGTATGCCTTTAAATAATAGTGTGATTAAATGTCACAAGCATCCTTATTATTATCCCATGCTCTGTATCGTTTATTCGATTAAGAAGCATATTCATGAATGTTCTACATCTTTCTTTCTTTGTTGTATATCATATAATCAAATCAATCCAACTTTTCTTCATTGATCTTGGAAATTCACATGCATCTATTAGTAATGTGTTTGGTTGTATTCTCCTAGCTTAACGAGAGATTTGGGGAATTTTGAATTGAACAGACATAATCTTTGTTGATTTCCAACCAATACTGACCAAAAGTAGTACTGACACTTATGGTTACTCTACTTTGTTGCCATGAACAAACCTATTTGGTTGCTACACTCACAAGCCTGAGATAGTGGAAGTCTAACAGGGATCCCATGAGTATATTCCATATGATAATCAACATGTTAATTTCTCTAACAAATTGATCAAATGATTGATATCTAGCTGATCATTAAATTTGGCAGAAATTTGTAAAGCATTTACAATGAGCAACCCTTCAAGTTTCATCCATACCAGAGCACGAAACAGTTTGGCATACTATCATGGTTGATTGTTCTCATGTAGATTAATCAGACATTGGTTTCGCAATAATTCCAAAAACACATGATTTATACACATAATATGCAATAGTACATTTGATTCTCAAAGGTGAGTGATTATTCAGTATTTCTAGAGTATGGATACGTGGTGCTCCATAAGATTTTGATTGGTAGAGAGACATAAGGGCCCACAATTTATGTTGGGGATGAGAGAATAACATGAGACTAAGTAATTGGTGATTAGCTTGAAGTATGGCCACGTGGTGCTTCGGGAATATTGAATAATTTCCCCTCAAGGCTGCCAGTTCCAAGAAATTATGAAGGCCAAAGGGAAATTGGACTGGCTTGAAAATGTCTATCAGATGACCCAAAAGGCCCCCCTCATGAAGTGCCAATTTTGACTGAGTCCGGATCCTCTCCAACTTCTCTCTCCAGTAGTTTCTCCGAGCAACGACTCAGGTAGAGCCACATTACTTCCAAAGAAATATATGGCTTAGATTTATTCTTTAAACCAAAAAATAAAAATAAAAAAAATACACACCCACACCCATTGACACACACACACACACTCTCTCTCCATTCCTTTCTCACTGACACACACACATTCACAACACACATTCTCTCTCTTTCTCTCTCTCTCCCTCTCTCACACACACCCACATTTCTAAAAAAAAAAAATTAAAATCACACACTCTTCTCTATTACATTTCTAATAAAAAATAAAAAATTATTTTAATCTTTTTCATTTTATTTTCATAATATATATAATTTTTAATATAAAATTTTAATTTTTATAAAATTAATATCATTGTAAATATATCAACAATATCTTTAAAATAAGACTAATATTAAATATATAATTTTAAAATAAATAAAAGTATATAATTTTAAAAAATTATATAATTAAAAGAATAATATTATACAATAAAAAATCATACATAATTTTCACACATAATGATATGACTCATTGTGTATATTTATTTCAAAATAAAACATTATTAAAAATGTATTTATTTACAATAATGACATTGCAACATTGTTCTTGTCAAGTTTTTTATATAAATTTTATGTAAAAATAAAATTTTCCTAATTAAAACGAGATAGATAATTAAAGTTGCTATGAATAATGAATAACAAGACTGTATAAAATTACTTAAATAGAAAATTTTATTTAAGTCTTCAAATGAAAACATAGAGATTAAAACAACAAACGTACAATGGTGCAAGCGATAAAAAAAAAAAAAACTTTAATTTAGCAGATAAAATGAAATAAAAAAAAACATCATTTTCAAAGAATTTTTCTTTCTTGCAACAAAATTAATTTAAAAAAAATTAAAAATTCACATTCTAAAATAATTTTTTTGAAATATCTGCTTTTTAAATATAATATATATATGGTTCAAACTTTCCTTCCTCCATCGCGTACCTTCTCTGACGGTGACGTGTGCGTGCCGTGAGGTGAAGGAGAGAGAGGAGTATCAGAGAAAATGAAATGATTCAGTATGGATGTGTTTTGAAATTTTTTGTTTAAAGAAATAAATTTGAATCATTTATTTCCTTGTGGGGGTGACGTGGCTTTATCTGAACCGTCCCGCAGGAACAGCCGGAGAGAGAAGCTGGAGAGGATCGGACTCGTTTTGACCACCATTAACCAATCCAAGCATTCTCTCTAAATCAATTACAAGTCTTTTCTTACCTTAAGTTGGCTTAAATTGAAAAAACTGTGTCACCTTAAGTTAGCTTCCAGTTTGGACTTGACAATACATCAAAACACTTTAATCTTCAACACCCTCAGTATGCTCACCTTCGCTCTCTACCTCCATTCCTTACTCCACCTCCTCACCTCCACCGCGGCTGTAACACCGCCTTACACACCCACGGATTACTTCCTCCTCAACTGTGGCTCATCCTCCAACGCCACGTCGCGAGACGGCAGGAGCTGGGACGGTGATGCCACCTCAAAATTCTCACCGTCCAACATCGGCACCACCTCATCACCATCCACGGCCACCGAACAAGACCCTTCCACCGACATCCCTTTCCTCACCGCCCGCATCTTCACCTCCGAATTCACCTACACTTTCCCCGTCTCCTCCGGCCCCAAATTCCTCCGCCTCTACTTCCACCCAGCCACCTACTCAAATCTCGACAGATCAAAATCTTACTTCTCCGTCACCGCTGCAAACTACACCCTCCTAACCAACTTCAGTGCCTTCCTCACCGTCTCTGCTTTGGTTCCCCAACAATCCTCTCTTGTCAAAGAGTACATTGTCAATGTCAGAGACACCCAAAAGCTCGACATAACATTCAACCCATCTCCCAATTCATACGCCTTTATCAACGGCATCGAAGTCGTTTCGATTCCCAACAATTTCTACATGAAAGGCGACAATCCTATCCCTCTTGTTGGCTATCAACCATTTATCTATATCGATAACAACACTGCTATGGAAACTCTGTACCGGTTAAACGTCGGTGGCAACGAGGTGTCTGTGAATGACGATACCGGCATGTACCGGCCGTGGCATCCAGATGACATGTATATATACGGCGCGGCCGTTGGTTTGGTGCCTCACCTTGAGGTCCCAATTCGGTACACTAAGACACCGAATTACACTGCTCCGGCGACTGTGTACACTACGGCTCGGACCATGGGAAATGACCCAAAGGAAAACTTGAAGTACAATTTGACTTGGATCTTCACCGTTGACTCTGGGTTCCTGTACCTGGCTAGGCTTCATTTTTGCGAGTTTCAACTGGTGGTAACCACAGAACATGAGAGGATATTTTCTGTGTACATGAATAATCAGACCGCTGATCAAAAGGTTGATGTTATACACTTGAGTGGGGGTCGCGGAATTCCTGTTTTCAAAGATTATGTTCTTTCAGTCCCAGTCGTCGATGGTCTCCGGAGTAAGGTGGATTTGTGGCTGGCGATGTCCCCGAATATGGACTCCAAGCCCAGGTACGCTGATGCAATCTTGAACGGTTTAGAGATCTTCAAATTGAGTAAATCGGACGGAAGTCTCGCCGGGCTCAATCCTGAATACGTTCCCGCACCGCCGGCACCATATCCAAAGCTACCGGGCAAACAGAATAGTAAAACGTCGTTGTCGTTGGTCTTGGCCGTCGCCGGAGGTGTAATCAGCGGAGTGTTCTTGATTTCAGTGATTGGTTTCTTGATTTTCCGGTGTCGGAGGAGGGTGAGAGACTCCGGTGCAAGCGTGGTCAAGTCATCATGGGTCCAATTTTCAATTTTGCACACGTCGAAGTCCACGAAGACTAACGCTTCATCACTGCCGCCTAGTCTCTGCAGAAATTTCTCACTCACAGAGATCAAATCTGCTTCATCATTACGGTCTGAAGGGTTGTGTCGTCGCTTCTCACTTGCTGAGATTCAATCTATGACCAACAACTTCGATGATGAATTGATCATTGGAAGTGGTGGATTTGGTAAGGTCTACAAAGGACTCATTGATGGTGAGGAAACCACTGTCGCTATAAAGCGGTTGAATTCAATGTCTAAGCAGGGTGCACATGAATTTTGGACAGAGATTGAGATGCTTTCCAAGCTTCGACACAATCATCTTGTCAGTCTAATAGGCTATTGTGAAGAAGGCGATGAGATGATCCTTGTTTATGAGTATATAGAGAATGGTACCCTTGCTGATCATCTCTACAAAATTAATACCAGTGGAAATATTTGTCACATATCATGGGATCAAAGACTCAACATTTGCATTGGTGTTGCACGTGGATTGGATTACCTTCACACGAGTACTCAGCAAGGTGTCATACACCGAGATATGAAAACCTCAAATATTCTGTTGGACAATGCTTGGGTAGCTAAGATTTCAGATTTTGGTTTGTGCAAAATGGGCATCACAAGCGATTTTGGAACCCACGTCAGCACAGACATTAAAGGCACATTTGGTTATTTGGATCCAGAGTATTTCATGACTCGTCGGCTAACCAAGAAATCAGATGTGTATGCTTATGGTGTCGTGTTGTTGGAAGTGCTTTGTGGGAGGCCAGCAGTTGATATGAGGCTTGAGGAAGAACAATGCAGTCTAGCCCTATGGGCTCAACATTGTATCAAAAAGAAGAAACTTGGTCAGATCATTGACCCTAGTATGAGGGACCAAATCTCGCCAGATTGCCTGAAGTTGTTTTCAAAAGTTGCTAACAAATGCTTAAATAATAATCCAAATGGACGTCCTACAATGGCTGATGTAGTGGTGAGCCTTGAGTGTGCTTTGGCGGCACAGGATCAACAGGGATATACAAGTAGATGTTGATCTGCTACAAGTATCAACCCCTCGTGTGCATTGCTGGGCTCAAGATCAGTGCAAGAATATACAAGCAGATGATGCTCTGCCACAAGGTACAGCCCCCTCTCCCTCCACTCTTGTGCATTACTATGAGAATTAGGTATGTTCATGGGTCGATCCGGGTCAGGTTAGCTCGACAATCGAACCAGAAACATTGAGTTTATTTTTTGTTGGACCAATTTCACCCGCGTGCTTCTTCGAAATCACATTTCCGCGAAACTGATTTTGGCGGTCAGCTTCAATTGGCTCTGGTAACCGCCTCCCTTTGCCACTTAACCGCCTCTGCGAAGCAAGATAGTGGAGATGAAAGGTTCCTCATTACTAAGAAGGTGATCTTTGCCATTATTTTTGCCACGACCCAATCCCAGTGGATGTCGCAACTAGTCTATTCCTAAATTACCAAGGATTTATTCTAAAATCAAATAAGTTAATAATGCAGCGGAGTAAAATAAAAGACGTACATAAATATTTATTTTAATTAAAATGTACATACGGTTTGTGTTAGTTTTTAAATCATAAAAAATCGAATGGATCGGTGCTAAATATATTCTTAACACCGACTGAATCGAACCGTGTATATCCCTACTCTTGGTTCTTCTTGATTGATTTTTTTTTTTTTTGGTTTTGTTTTGTGATCAGAATGGTGTGTGTATATTTTTAAATAACAGTGTAATTAAATGTCATAATCATCCTTATTATATACCCTACTGTATCATTTATTTGATTAAGAAGCATATAGATGAATATTCTACATCTTTGTTAGTTGTGTATCGGATAACTGAACCAAACCAACTTTTTTCATTGATCTTGGAAATTCGAATGCATCTATTAGTAATGTGTTTTAGCAATAAATATAAAATTATAAAGTTATGTTTATCATATCAATTTAATTTTTTTAAATAATTAACGTATAAAATTTAATAAAAAGAACGATTAGAATCATTAAAAGAAGTCTCGTAATGAATCCCACAACACCCAGCAACAACATTAATTAGAGACAAACATGTTCCGTAGTATATTATGTTGAGGAATGAATCCCACAACACCCAGCAACAACATTAATTAGAGACAAACATGTTCCGTAGTATATTATGTTGAGGAGTAATTCCTTTTGGTGGTAATTTATGCATTTTTCTATGGCAAACCATGTGAACAATGGGTCTGGCTTAGGTAATAATGAAATTATTGCATGATTTCGGAATGTTATGGGACAATATTCAAGTGCTACTCTTAATTAATGACATAATAAACAAAATATTAATATATTATCCTCTCTTAGCTATGTAAAGAGATACAAAACTATTCTAATTTTTTTTTGAGAGAAATTACAAATAAAACTTTAAAAAATTTTAGTTTTATAACAAAATAATAAATTTAAAATTTTTAATTTTATCAATTTAAGTGTTAATATTTGGATTTATTTTCAATCTTTTAACTATTACACTCAATGTTGGGGTATGAAAAGTGTTTAAAATATCCGATTTCATAGAGTTTAATAATTGAAACATATTTTTTCTGACAATTTTACGTAACAAAAATAAGTGAATATTTAGATGGAAAAAAAGTCAAAAGACTAAAATTTAAATTAACAAAGTTGGAAGGGGCATGATTTATTTAGTTACAAAACTCAAATTTTAAGAATTTTTTTTATAATTTTTGCTAATTTTTTATGAATAAATAATACCAACTACCCTTAGCGGCTCATTAATTTTCCCAAAATTTATTAGACTACACTACCCCATCCTAGAGGGCAGAGGCCGGGCCTAGAGATCGAGATGCTTTCCAAGCTTCGACACAATAATCTTGTCAGTGTTATAGGCTAATGTGAAGAAGGCGATGAGATGATCCTTGTTTATGAGTATATAGGGAATGGTACCCTTGCTGATCATCTCTACAAAATTGTCTTGTCAGTCTTATAGGCTAATGTGAAGAAGGCGATGAGATGATCCTTGTTTATGAGTATATAGGGAATGGTACCCTTGCTGATCATCTCTACAAAATTAATACCAGTGGAAATATTTGTCACATATCATGAGAGCAAAGACTCAACATTTGCATTGGTGTTGCGCAGGGATTGGATTACCTTCACACGAGTACTCAGCAAGGTGTCATACACCGGGATATGGAGACCACAAATATTCTGTTGGACAATGCTTGGGTAGCTAAGATTTCAGATTTTGGTTCGTGCAAAATGGGCATCACAAGCAATTTTGGCACTCACATTAGCACAGACGTTAAAGGCACATTTGGTTATTTGGATTCAGTGTATTTCATGACTCGTTTGCTAATCAAGAAATCAGATGTGTGTGCCTTCAGTGTCGTGTTGTTAGAAGTGCTTTGTGGGAGGCCAGCAGTGGATATGAGGCTTGAGGAAGAACAATGCAGTCTAGCCCTATGGGCTCAACATTGTATCAAAAAGAAGAAACTTGGTCAGATCATTGACCCTAGTATGAGGGACCAAATCTCGCTACATTGCTTGAAAGTGTTTGCAAAAATTGCTAACAAATGCTTACATAATCATCCAAATGGACGTCCTACAATGGCTAATGTAGTGGTGAGCCTCGAGTGCACTTTGGCAACATAGGATCAATGCAGGGGATGTACAAGTAGATGTTGATTTGCCACAACACTACAGGAAATTACACTTTCAACTACAAAATTTTTAGTTGCTGAAGGTTGTTTTTTAGTCGCTAAAAATCAATGGCAACTAAAGTTCTTTTTTGCCTAGTTAGTCGCAGAGGCCTTGTCAGCAACTAAATTTATGTTGGTCACGAAAGATTTAGTCACCAAAAGTAATCAAATCAAATCAAAATGAAATTCTTTTTCAGCGTCGCTAAAATGTTTTAGTTGCCGAAGGATGTCATGTTCTTTTGTGACTAAAATATTTGGTCAGCAATAGTTTCTTCACTTATCTTGATTTGTTTTGGCTACTAACTATTTTTGTTGCCAAAAGTCTTTTTTTTTTTTTTCCAACTAAATATATAGTCACTAAAATCTTTGCTTGCTTTTTTCACTACCAAATATGTTTAGTCACCAAAAAATTCACTTCTTTTTTGGCTACTAGACATATAGTAGCCAAAAAATTTATTTAGTTTTTTTCATTAATTTCTCTACCACCTGTATTTATTCCATTATTAGTAACATTTACCCTGTATATAAACAAAACAATACCTATGCTGATTATATTATCAACCATTTCACAACGTGCACATATTTCACTTTCAACCATCTAAAAAATTCATATTTTTCGTCAAATATTCCAAATGTAATAGAAATTCTATACAAACCAAATCTAATCTCAAAAACGTAATTCAATACGAAACAAAGCACTATATGAAAATCATGTCCTCTGTACACAAAAAACTAATATCCACAATATCACGCCAAAGAGTGTAATTTATACCATGCAAAAGAGATAATCTGTACGATGCCAAAAAGATAATTTGCACTACACCAAAATGGTAATCTATACCACTTCAAAAGTAATTTGTATCCCACCGAAAATGTAATTAATACCACGCCAAAAGTGATTTGCACCATGCCAATTGGAAATCTGTACAAATAGTAGTAATTCGTAGACCAAAAAAAAGAAAAATAAATAAAAGAAGAAGTTGTAACCACAATTTCACGTCAAAAACCACCTGTAAAAACAAGATTATAATCATTACTATTGATTGAATAACATTGGCATATTTAAAATTATAAATATATATATATATATATATATATAAAACTCAGATGTAATTAAACTTTTCAAATTAATTATTAGTTTTGCATAGTCGAATGTATAGAAAACAAAATTACGCCTAAAATTCAAATGCATATATAAGGCAACTAGTAATCTTATAGTATTAATCATTAAGAATAATTAATCATTAGTTTTGCTTTTTGGGCCCTGAATGCCTTTTCGACTAAGTTTTATGCTTTTTCGACTCTAACTCACAAACGATCCTTGGTCCTACAATTACACTGTGATTCATATCTAACTATCCAATCATTTTACTATAAAAAATGGCAGAGTTTTGAAAGTTTAGCCAATCATAAACAATTAAAAATACAAAAACTTCACATTTGTTTCCAAAGCCAAAGTTGAAGTCTAGAGCTTAAAACAGGAAGTTAAACTCAAAATATGTGATGAAGGTATGCAAAGCACCAAGGAAAAAGAAAAAGTGGGTACAGTTGCATTGAAGAGAGCCGTTGAAAAGGTCCTTTCAATAGTAGGCATGCTTCAACTCTACTGTGAAGAAATGGCCTCACATAAAATGACAATCTAGTTTTCCAAGGGAAAAAAAATATCGAACCTAGAATAAAGGTATGGATGTGGTCTTTATGGTGGTGGAAAAGTTAAGCAAGAATTATGTTTACCGACCACTTTATTATATAATAAAGTTCCATGGGTAAATAATGTGCAAAGAAAAACGAGATATTTCATAGTTTATGGTGGTACAAGATATTTTGAAGAGTCCGTATAACATAGTTTATAATGGTACAAGATATTACACAATTACACACACTCAGAGAATTAACTTGCAACATAATTCTTAGCAAGGACGGTAGTCTCATGTCCCAAATGATATTTCATTTTGTAATAATAACGGCAAGGAAACATATCAAATAAATTGTAGTGAACAAATTCCATAAAAGCAAACTAAATTATGATGTTATTTGGTAACCTTATGTAGCAGAGTTTCTCTTTGATTTTCCTAACACTGTGTTTGGTTAGAGGATTTGGAAGGGATTTGAAAAATGAAAGAGAAAAAGTATGTGAAATGTAGGTATATTTTATTAATGTTTCACCTATCTTTTCCCATTTCCTTTCTAAATCCCTTCCCAAATCCCCCAACCAAACACAGTGTAGTGCCAGTAGTTCTATTCATCACATACCTCCATAAAATTAGTTTATACTCCAATCAAAATGAAAGCAATTACTAGTATCTATCTAGTACCAAAGAGGGGGAAAAATTATAAATAAGCTGAATGGAATAAGTTCATTTATAAACTTCCAGTATCATATAAGCTTGGAGCTTCCTATCATCAGGTAGTCTCTAGGAGCTTAAGATAGGGCCCTTTCACTACAACAAGTTTTGTATCAATATCAACCGATGAAAAACTATAAGCTGTGTGTTTCATATCAATTACAAGTAACACAGATGCGACTTACGAAAAATAGTACTCTAAGGAAATCATATACATATATTTGGATGTGAAGAGTTTAAGCAGAAGTTGAAGTTAAGAAATATGCACATTTGTCAATCATAGAATCATTCAATATCCATTACCATCAAGCATATAAACATTGCATTTGAACATCATGGCATCAAAAATTTTCAAACCCAAACATAAACTTCATAGTTATTATCAAGATTGGATAGAGTGGGCAGGCCATGATAAGGATCTTTGTATATATCAATAAATAAATAGTTAAACAAGAAGAGTTTCCAATCATGATCTCCTGTTGACGACAACAAACATTTTACAAATCCAATCAATAAATCACATTATAAATTTCAAAAGTTATTCGCAGAAGGGTCAGTAAAAAACTAAAAACATATTTGAAGTTGGCATAATGCAAAATAATTCAACAAAGAGAGATGAAAAGTGTAACGCCCCCAAAATAATTACAATAATTCATCCATAACTGACTAGTACAAAATGACATAATCAAAATAATAGCCTTTCATTTATCAGAGTTAACTTACAAAAAAGTGACACATGCGATATGCATTCATAAGTTTTACCCTGAATTTATAGCGTGTGATATCAAATTAATTATCAACAAAATAAATGCCTTTCGAGCTTACAACTTTCCAAGGCTAAGCTTGGTTACAACAATAGAGAGAGTCTTAAGCACCATACATATAAAGCCCTAGGCTTGTTTAAGTATTAAATGCAAAACAATAAGACATAGCCTTAAGCTCCCAGGTCCTCTCAATCTAAACCCTTGGAGGAGGCATGTCACCAACACCAGAAAATGATTTCCCAAGTAGGGTGAGCCAAAGTCCAGTAGCAACAATCTAACACAATATATGAATCTTAACGAAGATATAAGTATAATGTGCATGTATAATGCCTTTGACAAAACATCCATACTCTACATGATCATAAAGTACCAAATTTTATATCTCAATCCATTTTCCTTCAATTCATTTCAAATTAATTTGTTCATCTCAATTCATGAGTCAATTTCATTTTCTTCCAGACAATCCAACTGAGAATAAAACTCAGTGGTTCTCAAATCAACACAACTACCAAACAAACACTTCAAGTTGCCATTTTACAGAAATTTCGTCCGCGAGAATTGGCACCCATGTATATGCGCAGTTTCGAGACTTTCACTCTGGGCACTCTGACTAACTTAATTTCAATGGAATCCATCCGCTATCTTCTTCCAAAATATGGAGTACATCCCTTTTCTCCTCCCAAACATCATACATATACAATGTATTTAAAACATAGTCATATTCAATGACAACCAACAAGAGATTAGTTTCAATTCATCTAATCCTCATGCAATTTCTACAACAATCAGAGTTATCTTCCACCGATAGCCCAATACAGATATTTCTAAACAGATATTCAATCTCAAGACAGATAATTTATTTAAATTTTTATGGATGTGAGATAATACATATCCAATTTCACCATTTATATCAATATTCATCTAATTTCATATTTACAACGCCAATTTCATTTATTTATACAAAATAAATATTCAAACCATTTTAGGGCAAACTCTTTTTTTTCCAAATATCAACCCATAGGCCAAAATCAACTATTTTTCCACAAGAAACCTCATATTCAGATCCCACAATCATCTATATCACATTCACTTAGAAACCCCTCTTTTGATTTTTAAACCCAAACCCTAGGTTTATTCAATACTCCTACATCCCATCATTGTTACACAATAACAAATAACTAAGCTAAAAATCATACGAAAGTGTAGAAAATCCCTACCTCAAGCTTAGATGACCAAAGTAACAATAGTGGAATTTCAGAGATGCCGAAACCAACTTCAACTCAGATCAAAATGGAACTCTAGAGACGTTCTACCTTTTTAACAAAGGCACACAGGTTGAGAAATCCATGGATCTAGGTGAAAATGTAAAGAGAATGTAGATTTTAGAGAGAGAGACTCTAAATCTAGGGTTTTTGAAAAGTAGAGAGAGAGAGAGAGAAGTGAAAAAATGATGTAAAATGATCTCATTATGAACTGATATACGCGCAGTCCACTCGAGTGTGAGAAGTGATGCTCGAGCGCTAGACACATTGTTCCACTCGAGCGCAAGAAGTGACGCTCGAGTGCAGAATACGCACTTTCAGAAGTTTTGCAGACGAAGGACATCGCTCGAGCTCAAGATTGGACACTCGAGCGCTCACCCACTTGAGCATAGGAAACGCCGCTCAAGTGTAGAATACATTCTTCCAGTATTTTGTAGGTCTGTAAAAATACTGAGAGTTTGCAAAGCCTACGAGAGCGCAAGAAGTGTCGCTCGAGCGGAGGAGTAAAAATTTAGGCAACAAAGGTTTGAAAAACAAGCAACCAACTTGTTCAAAATACAACAACTACGATCCAATAACCAAATTTAAGGAAGTATAAGGGGAAAACGACAATGAACAACATTCATAAACCATAAACCCGAGTCCGGAATATCACAGGAGTCGGGTTAAAACCAGAATCGCTATAAAAAGAAAACCTGGTTCAGTTGCTTCAGACATTCTTTTGATGTTTGATTATCTGCAATTACCTTGACTTCTTTTATTGCTCACAGTTTCCCATTCTCACTGTTAAAATCGCCAATATAAGGATATACAAGAAGATGATGATCTGTCACAAGATACTGTCCCCTCATGTGCATTGATGGCACATGAGCAATGCAGGGTTATACAAGCAGATGATGCTCTGCCACAAGGTACAGTCCCCTCTCCCTTCACTCTTATGCAATACTGTGAGAATTAGGTTTGTTCATGGGTGCATCCTGTAAGACTAAATTAATTATTTAGTCATTATGTTGACCCACATGATATGGTAATATGAATTAGAGATTTTGCAGGATTATAATTCCATATTTTTTGCTGCAATTAATTGGTAAATAAAAAGAGTGTTTTCCAAGTATCCTACTTTGATGGGAAAGTGGAATCATTGTTGAATAAGGAAACTTGTCATCTCTCTACCTATAAAAAGACATTCAGACTACCCATCAAATTATTATGAATTTAATGTATTCTAAAGAGGGTTAAGAGAGAAACCTTTTTCCACTAATATTGATATTAGGTTTACGTTCAATCAATTATGGATCACTTGAAGGTTTCGCATAACTAATTTAGGTATGTTATTTATTTTACGCATTATGTTATTATTTGTGAAAATATGATAGTTCACGATTTTGAATTATGAAAGTTGTTATATGCATAGCACCATAAACTTTTTACAGACACAGGTCAGGTTAGCCCCCCAATTGTTAGGGCTAGTTTGGCATGTACTAAATAAGCAAAAAAGTCAAAAAGTCACTATCTTATTTAAGTCACATCATCTTATTTAAATCACATCACCTCTCTAACACATCACATCAAACCCAACCCAAACCCAACCCAAACCCACCAATAAGTCAAAAAGTGCACTTTTTTAGGACATCCCAAACCAACCCTAAGTTCATTTTTTCTTGGACCAATTTCACCTACATATACTTCTTCGAAATCACATTTCCAGGAAACCCATTTTGGCGATCAACTTCAGTTAACTCTGGTAACCGCCTCCCTTTGCCACTTCACCGCCTCAGCAAAGCGAGATAGTGGAGATGAAAGGTTCCTCGTTACTAAGAAGGTGATCTTTGTCATCATTTTTCTCGTCATCAGACTCAGTGGTCACGAGGTTCACAGATGCAAAACTTTTTGAGTGTGGTGATAAAATACCAAAGTCTCTCTTTCAAGAAGTTTGAGATCTTTTTCTTTTATAGAATTGAAGATTTGATTACAACAAATTAGACAGGGAAAAAGCAAGAGACTGGTTAGCAGGAACAAGTTTAAAGGGAGAAACTGAGACTCTTTATTTTATAGGGTGAATTATACTAATGGTCCCTATAGTTTGGGACTCATGTCACTTTGGTTCTTAATTTTTTAATTATGACACATTTAATCTTGAATTTTAAATCTTGTTTCAAATAAGGACAATTGAAGATATCATTACTTAATTTCAAGGGTAAAGTTATCAATTTTGATAAAATATAAACTAATATGACAAAAATAAATGTCAAAAAATATTTAATTTTTAAAAATAATTTCTACCCACCAAAGATAAAATTATATAAAATTAATAAATCTTTTAGACATTTATTTATTTTACCAAATTAATTTTTATTATGTGTTTGGATGATGATCATGTATTGGGTGGTTGTTAGGCTTTTAATGTGTAATCGATATATTTAATATATAAAATGTTTTTTGTTTTGGATTTTTTAATTTAATGGATTGGTTTAATAATGATATCAAAATTGTCATCATATTTGACTTTTGAAAAAATAAAAAATAAAAATAACCACCCTTTACATGATCATCATTCAAACACATAATAAAAATTAATTTGGTACAAAAAAATAAATAAATGTCTAAAAAATTTATCAATTTTATATAATTTTATCTTTAGTGGGTAGAAATAATTTTAAAAAATTTTAAAATATTTTTTTGATATTTATTTTTGTCAAATTAGTTTATAATTTATCAAATTGATGACTTTGCCCTTGAAATTAAGCAATTGTATCTTCAATTGTCTTTATTTGAAACAAAATTCAAAATTCAAGATCAAATGTGTCACAATTAAAAAATCAAGAATTAAAGTGACACGAATCCCAAACTATAGGGACCGTTCGTGTAATTCGCTCTATTTTATATCTACATATTGTATGGAGAATGATGATGACCATGATCTGGGTCGAAAGGTCTTAAGTAATTTATAGCCTTTGAGGAATAGTTACTTGGCAAATATCATGTGTTACTTGTGCATGCAGGTATGATGGGCAGTTCTCAATTAAATGATTGAAAAGTGGTAGAACTAAGGATAAAGAGATAACGAAGTTTCTGGGCACAAGCAATAGGATCTCTGCACAAGCAACAGACACAAGATGATTGCCGCAGGACTATTGAGCCTCCTCGCATGAGCGACCATCCATCGCACGAGAGACCACCTTAGGCGTATGAACGACCAATCCCCCAAGGCTTACTGTCAACAGCAGAATATCTGGGCTGAACCAGGCAAAAAATCCCTTTTAATCCGAAAACACAAATTGATCGGGCAGATTTTCTATTTGTGAAATCAAGGTAGAAGACAGAGCTGCTAATTTGCGCAGAAGTTCATGCGATCGAGCTAACATCTGGCTAGCTCGTGCGACCAAACTTAGTTCGACTCGTGATTTTAACGAGCTGTTGCTCACTCAGAATGACCGAGCTTAAACCCTGCTCAACCGACCGAGATTGAGAAAACCGGGCTGCCCTTTACACTTCATTTTTTACCCTGCAAAATCCTAGGAGACTAGGCACACCAATATTAGGGCTCTCAAAGACCGAGCAACTAATATCTTTGATAAACACATTTCACCGAGTTGTTGAATGTAAAAACAACTACATCTTACTCCACCTACCACTACCACCTACTACCACCTACTCCACCTACTACACACCTACCTACTCTACTCTTCTATATATATAGGAATCATTGTAAACATATTCAATATCAATCAATAATACAATCAATATCTATACAATTCTCTATTTCTCTTTATACATTGTTTTTAACATGGTATCAGAGCAGGTTTAGAACCTAGTATTTTCGCTTCACCGGCGGACGACAACCTCACCTTAGCCGTCCGCCGGACCTCAACCTATTCCGTTTATTTTCTATACATACCTTCCCATCATTGCCCAAATCCTCTACTCCCTCAGTCAACCGAAAGCGTTAGAGAGAGAGAATGTCCTCATCTCCGGCTCCGGTGTCCCCACCGGCGACAAACACCACAACGCCGCCTCCCGCAGCGTCGTCCACTTCTCCACCACCACCAGCAGCCTCATCTCCGCCGCCGGCATCTTCGCCGCCGGCATCTTCGCCTCCACCACCCGTAGCGCCAGTCGCTTCTCCGTCGCCGCCGTCATCATCGACCACCCCATCGACGCCGTCGAGCTCATCATCGAGTGTATCGACAGGGCTTGTAGTTGGGATGGCCATAGGTGGTGTTGCGATCCTTGCATATCCAAGGCGGCCTGAGAGCCTCGTATTGCGCCAGTTTTGCCTGGAAGTGAAACCAGGAACAAGCGTTGGGCTTGTGGGGAAAAGCGTGTGTGGGAAGTCGACGGTGATTGCGTTGGTTCAGAGATTTTATGATGTCGAGAGAGGGGCAGTGATGGTGGATGGGGTGGACATAAGGTCACTTGACATCGGGTGGTATAGAAGGCACATAGCACTGGTTAGTCAAGAACCGGTGTTATATTCAGGCAGCATTCGAGACAACATTGTGTTTGGGAAGCTTGATGCGATCGAGAATGAGGTTGTGGAGGCTGCTAGGGCTGCCAATGCTCAAGAATTCATCTCAGCACTGAAAGATGGGTACAAAACTGAATGATTGCGATCCTTGTGATTTTCAGCATTTTGTTCGTATGTTGCAGAGTTAAGTAAAAAATAAAAAATAAAAAAAATAAAAAAAGGAAAATAGCCACACTGCTTCTCTCTCTCTCTCTCTCCTATCATACACAGATAAACACATTGTTTTTTATTATCACTTCCTCTCACTCTCTCATAAAATAATACTCCACCTCTCATGGACCCGACAGACCCCAGACTCATTATTATGCTCTCTACTCTCACCTTCTCTCTCTCTCCACTTTATCACATGGGTTTGTCCCTCTCTCTCCTCCGTTTGATTTCAAAATCAATTATTTTTATTTATTTTTTCCAAATCACTTTTAATCTTTTTTAAATACCCACTCTCCAATAATATATCTTTTGCAGGGGCACTAACCCCAACTTTATTTTGAAACAATCACACTGATGTTTTTCATATAATCCATTTACAAATTTTTTTTATCTATTTTCTTTATCCCTTGTTTTCTTTCATTTTATTTTTATTCTTAAACAAAACACTACCAAAACATAAAAAAAAAAAAAACATTTTACAAACTTGTCATTTCTTCATGTCGGGGATCATCCCCGATCACATTTCTACACCAAAACACAACCAGAAAAAAAAAAAAAACCAACAACAACAAAGACCACCATCACAACCACAAAAGATTTGTCTTCTTTTCTGCAGACGGCCACCCACCGACCTCACTTCATCGCCTCTTCAGCCGGTCTTTTCTTCTTGCCTCCGTCCAGGGCGGCCCTTGACGGTGCTGCCTCTGTGTTTCCCGCGCCGCCGAGCACGTTCACTCCCTCCTGCTCCTCCACTGCAGCATATGGCGGACCTCCAAATCGGAACATAACGGTGGCCTTCCGCTTCAGCTCCTTGTTTTCCGCCTTTAGTACACATATTTCTACTCGCGCATCCTTATACATGCGCTGGAGCAGAGCCAGTTGGGCGTTTAACTGCTGCACCTCATATGTCCTACTCTGAAGCCGGTGCGACAAGTTTGTGACTGCCGTCATTGTCTCCACACATGACTTCAATGTATACTGATTGGCCTCAATATCTGATTGTGCTGCCATTCTTTGCTCCACAGACCGCATAGGAAAGGTCAACGGAGCAAACTCAGGGGCGCTTGGTTGAGGTTCACGGGCAACCGCACCAGTTATCTCTCTTGTGGACTCGTTGAGGTCTGGAAAGAGAGTGACAAGACCACGGGAAGAAGAGGCCATGTTATGGGTTGCTGAGTGTTTCAGATGCAACAGAGTGTTACAGAGTATCTCTCTCAGAAAATGAAGAGTTTTTTAGAGGTTTTTAGCAGGTTTTTGTCTCAGCCTCTGCCTCAGCCTCAGCCTCCGTCTTGGTTAAATAGCCAAGGCAGACACGCGCATCGTGCGCCACTCGGCACTAGACGACAACATGGGCGCGCAAGCCAAGGTAGTCACGCGCATCGCCATAATGTCCGGCACACCTTTTTATGGATTGGGCACGCCTTTCGATGGCACGCCTTTTGAAAGATTGGGCACACCTTTTGAGGGTGCGACTTTTTAGGGGTCCGACAAGACTCTGTAAACTGTCCCGACATTGATTCCGGTTAGCTCCTTCATGGGTCCGACAAGACTCTGTAAACTGTCCCGACATTAATTCCGGTTAGCTCCTTCATGGGTCCGACAAGACTCCGTAAACTGTCACAACAACAGTCACAACATTGTCTGCTACAACGGTCTGACATGACCCCGTAAACTGTCTTCTACACCGGTCCGACATGACCCCATAAACTATCTTCTATATCGGTCCGACACGAGCCAGTGTCTTCTACATTGGTCTGCCATAACCATACAGTCTTCTACAACGGTCTGACACGACCATACAGTGTCTCCTAACCATTTCTTATTTTATTTGTCAGATTATTTTCCTGTTTTGTTACTCTCTCCAAACTCATGTTGGTTCGTTCCTATCCCCCTTGAGTTTGAGGGGGGCTGTTGAATGTAAAAACAACTACATCTTACTCCACCTACCACTACCACCTACTACCACCTACTCTACCTACTACACACCTACCTACTCTACTCTTCTATATATAGGAATCATTGTAAACATATTCAACATCAATCAATAATACAATCAATATCTATACAATTCTCTATTTCTCTTTATACATTGTTTTTAACACGAGTAGGCTAAATCGTGCTCCATGTGTCGATACCGCTACCTGGTAAACATGTCGGGTGGCTTGGCCGTGTTCCGCGTAGAGTACAGCATTCCGGTAGACATACATTTGGAGCTCGGTAAGGAAGACATCCTTCCATGGGGCAAGCTGGATTATTGCCCCTTTACCGTGTTGTCTGTAGTTAAGGGAGGTCTCCACTTCCCGATGCAGCCATTAATCAGTGAGTTCCTAAGAAGGACCGGGCTGGCATCGACTCAAGTCTCAACGAACACTTAGAGAATAATAAACGGAGTCGCTGAGCTAAATAATCGGCTAGGTTTGAATTTGGGATTGATTGAGATCTTATGCCAATACACGCTCGGTCGCATGGTCAACGGATTTAATTATCACTTAAAAATAAGGCTGGGCAGAAAGTGATTAGTAACTGGCACACCGGACAAGGATATACATGATGACGACTTCTTCTGGGTGTCTAGCAATTATGAAACAGTTGACGTGCCCAGTAGGTATATCAGCAAGAATTTCGGTTCATCTTATAAGCCGAGCTTCCTGACTAGTTAATTTTGTTGCTTTTCATTATTCTAAGCTAATTGTCTTCCTTTTGCAGCTATCGAAGAGTTACAAGCCAATTATCTCCATCCGAACGAAGAGGCAATCAGGGCCATGCTAAGATATAGGCACCGGGATTGTCATGAGCTTCTATGTTACGTGCAGAGCTACTGCTATTCAGCAAACCGGAAGAGCAAAGTTACCAACTTCGCACACGGCTGCTCTTGATTTTAACTTTGAAATGCTTATTTATTTAAAAACTTGGCAAAACAATAAGAATGCTCTGCATATTGATGTCAATGGATAATAGACATGTTGAGCTCCCTAAACACATATATATCATAATTGAGTGACTTGTCATTATCGTGAAAAAAAATTAAGTACTATTGAGAACTATGTGAAATTTGTGATGAAACTTAAAGGTAGTAAAACTGTAAAGGACAAGTACAATAATCAGTGACAAAGCAACAACTTGGATATTGACGTGCAAATGATGGAATAATAAAGAAGCTAAAGAGATTAAAAGAAGCGACATATACTAGAGCAAAATGTTAAACCTACTAATAAAATTGATGTACCAATAATAAGACGTTTGAACCTGTGTGAGTGATTTTCTGACCACACTGCCCGCTTAGTAACCAGCTAGAGAGCACCGGAAGAATAGATGGCACCTGGCTGACCTGCAACAGAAAGAGAAGATTCTGGTGGTGGTTCGTCCACCCGGGGGCACTCCGACGATCAAGTCAGTATATCTCTCAAAGATAATCAATAGTGCTAATCTCACTAGACAGAATATAAATTGCGTACCTTAGACCCATGGGGGTGCCTCTCTTTTATAGTTACCTCAATCCTAATCTCAATAAAAGCCTGACTTCTATGGATTCCTGTTCAGTACTTACTTTGGACTCCTTAAGAGGTAAAGACAAACTCCCTAAGAGCTTTATCCTTATCTTGGCTAAGTTTCCTCTTTATTCTAGGACTCTTGTCCCTTATCCGCTTATCTCGGAATCTGATATCTTCGGAGATAACCTCGGCCTATCTGAGATGACCTCGGCATAACAACCAGGACACGCGGCACCTCGGCTGACACGTTGGCGTCACCTTGGCCATGTGTTGGTACTCAGAAAATATATCCTCACAACTGCCCCCTAGGTTCTATTACCTCGGCATTCTGAGGTGATGGAACCTACACTGTTCATTCATCTGTGCCCCTCTGTCCGAGATCAAACTCGCCGACCTCAAAGTTCCTTGGACTTTACTGTCCACTTCTGTCAAGTATCAAGCTTCATGCTTTCCAAGCAGCTCGAGATCACACCTCCTAGCCGAGGTTCTTGTTCCATTAATTTGTAAACTCCAAGAGCTTTGCAACTGCTCCACTCACATTCTTCGGTGGGTTCCCGACTTCTAGTCATCTATTTGACACCGGCAATCTTCATATCGGGGTTCATTTCTCTTGGTAGGTTCATAAACTCTTTTATTAAGCTCAATCTTTCATAACTCTTCTGAATCCATTTACTTGCCTTCTGTTGTCTTCTATTTTCGTCTATTTTCAAGTTTTGAATTGTTTGAACGCCTGTCACTGTTCTTGCCATATCCGCTTTCTGTTGCTAGCATCGTGTCTGGGTCATTACTTTCTTGTTCTTCACATACTTACTTAGTGCCTGTGCACGTGGCTTTATTCTTGAACTTTGTCGTCTTCTTGACTCTGATTTTTCTCTTTTTTCATTCAATCCTCTGGCTTTTTCTCTTTCTAGCTCTTTTGCTGAAATCCGTCATTGTTCCAAGCTTTCAAGCTCTGCAACTGTTTTCGTTCCTCTCCTCCGGTGAAGCTTACGTCATTCTGTCATTTTCTCATCCGTCGTCAGACTTCGGCAATTCTCATTCTGGCTTCCCTTTTTCTGGTAAGCCACTGTTCCTGCTGGTTTTATTTTTTGTTGCTTTCCAAGAAGCTCTGCTTCATTGTTAATCACCATTGCTGTTTTACCTGTTGTTTCCAAATCATCTTCTTGAATACACACTGTTCACACATCTGTTGATTTCTGCCACTGTTCTTGGCTTGACACACCTGTGCAATCTTTTTGTCTTGATTTCCTGATAGCTTCATCACCATTCTTGATTACGAATTACATTCTTGTTTCTATTTTCTGTGTTTTTTTCCAGATTCGTGCTTTCAATCCTTGCTTTCAAACTCCGAGGTGCCAATCGCCGAGAAGAGCTTTGATCAAACTCTTCGGGAGATCGATGCTGAGGTCGAGGCCGAGAAGGCTGCTGAGAAGTCTTC